AGATGGTGAAGTTGACAACCAAAGAAACCCCAATGCGAATAGGTGCAGGGGAAGCCAATCCCTCTATTCAAGAAGTCAAGGTGGAATACACGCTCACCGAGCTGCAGCGGCGTGAACCTCTCCGTCGACAAAGGTATCTGATAGCCCAGGTATGGGGGGAGTGGTCCTTCCGCCTTCAGCTTTTGGACCTCCCCACCGGCTGGCGACCACGTCGGCAGTCTGCTTTGGCTTGGCGGCGACGGTCTCCCTTTTCCACTTTTTCTCGTCTTCTCTTGTCACCTACAAACTTCGGCCCTGACTACAATTATCCGACCCATCTCTTTTCGCCCAAAAATCACAACCATCGCATTGGTGGAGTGTGGGAGGTAGGCGTCTGTAGCGTCGGCACATAAACGTGAGGAGGGAGATGTGAGCGGAATGGAAAATGCTTCCTTCGCCCCACCGCTCTTATGATAAACTACAGAGCGAGCCGAAAATTGAGGCATCTCCGCGCGCCACGTGCCCCACCCTTAGTGAATGAATAACACTCTGCAAATCATGGCACGTGAATCTAGGCAGGCTTGACATAATGAGAAGAGGCCTAGATGGCTCCTCGATTGGCACTGACAAGACGGTTAGCAGGGGCGACTCTTCGAGAAACCAGGGGACGACGAGCTATACTCCCTGGTGCAACTTGGCCAGAGTAAAATTGAGGAAGAGGACCCATGAAGATCAAGCCTATGGAGTGCCATGCGAACGAGCAACGTTTCAATGAAACGTCTTGGTGCTTTGTAAACACCTCTCTCGCGCTAGGGTTCCCCCGCTTCCCTCCCGCCGCCGCCGCCCCTCCCGCTGCCGCCGGCCCCGCCCCCCGCCTCCGCCCCCTTCCGCCCTCCCCCCCCTCCGTTTTGGCCGCCTCGCGTCGCCTCCTCGGGAGGTGGCCGGGGCGGAGCTCGCGCCCCTCGCCCGCGGGAACCCGCCCTCCCCATCTCCCCCCGCCGCCGTCGGCGGGCGCCCTCGGCGCTGGCCCGGGTGGTGCCGGCGGCGGCGGGCCTTCCAGTCCCCGTGCGCCCGTGC